ACATACATATATACATACGTCTGCCTAAGCAAATATAAGCCGCTAGGATATGCTTTTGTGCGCAAATAAAAACAAAAATGAGAAACAGACACACACACACACACACACACACACATACACAATATATGCTTCAAGCCAGCAAAATCAAAAAAAAAGTTAAACAAACATTCTTCCATACATACATACATACATACATCTAGCTACGCAACCACAGATGCTGCCTTAATTTTTGCAAATTACAAATTATTGCACAGCAAACTCCTTTCGTCCTTTCGTCTTTTGCACTTTCATCCTTTTCTTCCCCGAGCAACTATCAGCCTTCATCCTTCAACCGTACGAACTCTCAAATTTGCCCACGGCAATGACCGCAAAGGCGCATAGGCTGCTTGCAGCGCGAACGCAGTCCTCAAAGGTGCAACTGCCGAAAACAACGGAAGCAGCAAACAGCAATTCAAGGCAACCAGATTTCATTTCTCTTCTTCTTTTTTTTTTTTTTTTTTTTTTTTGTAAATTGAAATCGAAAATTAAAAATTACGCCCTGCAACCAAGCCGCGCAAGCATTTAACGTTGCACGCGCAGGCAAGGAGTAGAAGAATGAGACGTTGAAAAAGTAAAGGATGCTCGACGCTCAAGGGCATGATGAAACCGAAGGCGTACGCAAAGTACACGAGCTACCGCTCACAGTCAATGGAGTCTTGACTTTGTCTGTGTATGGGTTGTGGTGCGGATTCATACGGATCGGAGCACAAAAATTCGTACTCACAGCTGATTTTATGGCCGCAGGCGTACACAGTGTGTTCCATTGAGTGACAAAATGCTTGAATTAAGTCTCTTAATAGACATCGAAGGTGGCGGTAAGGGAGGAAGTATTTCGCTCCCCACTTGGATAGGACTTTTGCCTCAACTTGAACGTATATTCCACTTTTGGTTATAGGAAATCCATAATATTAAATGAAGACATGTCCTACACCAATTTGTCCTTCGAACCGAATAGAGTATTATTCTCCCATCCCTGTTACCTGCAGGAGCTGCATCGAATTCTGTGTGCGCGGTTCTGGACTCTTTCCAAACTCTCTCTTTCTAGCTTTCTGCCTCTAGATGCTTTGCTCTTTTTGTGGCATGGTTATGGACTATTTTCTTCAGATGATTAGTAAGACTACTCATCCACGCTTTCCACCTCTATATTTGGCACTGGACGGCGAGCCTACCTTTCCTGATTGATTTCGCTCTTTCTATGACGTGGTTCTGGACTCTTTCCACGCTTTCTAAATCTAGATTTAGATTGAGGCGGAGAGTCTACCTTTAATGCATGCTTTCGTTCTTTCCATGACGTCATTCTGAACTCTTTCCAAGCTTTCTCCCTCTAGATTTGGAATGAGATGGCGAGTCTACCTTTCGTGCATACTTTTGCTCTTTTCATGGCATGGTTATGGACTATTTTCTTCAGGCGAATAGTAATACTACTCTTCCACGCTTTCCGCCTCTAGATTTGGAATAAGACGGCGAGCCTATCTTTACTGATTGATTTCGCTCTTTCCATGACGTCGTTCTGAACTCTTTCCAAGCTTTCTCCCTCTATATTTGGAATAAAATGGCGAGCCCAACTTTTTTGCTCTTTTCATGGCATGTTTATGGACTATTTTCTCCAGGCGAATAGTAAGACTACTCTTCCACGCTTGCCCCCTCTAGATTTGAAGCGGGACGGCGAGTCTATTTTCACCTAACGCTTTCGACTGCAACTATCGGATGGCTATGGACTATTCTCTTTCTGAGTTTATTCGTTCGATGTTGAATTTTTCAGGTCCAATTTGGTGCCGTATTGCTAAGAGCCGATCAGAACGGGTTTTAAGGAGTGTCATTATCGTAATATTTGATCGCTACGAGCTTTAAACTCAGCTCAGCAGTAGTTTGTGGGATCTTGACAGATCAGACGGTAAGATATTTCCTTCTGTTGCCTCCTCAGCTCCGACTATGGCGCTGTAGAACTCATCTCTGGGCTTTGAGCTCTCTACACATTTCAAATTTCTTTCATTTCAAACACTTATCGTTTCGCTTATTTCGTTTACACCTGACAAAACCACAAATTGCAATTATTCAATTAGAAAAGTAACACTCCCCACGCCATACCGCAAATCCAATTAAGCAATTACCACCACAATGAGGCAAAACCAGCAGGTTCTACGAAATTCTACGAAACACCAAACCGACGAAATTGCCAAACCAAATTTCAATTTGTCATTCCCGACAGACAAGAGACACGTGCGCGATCATTGACGAGGTAACGACCAGCAGATCAACAAACGAAGCTACCACTCCTACAACAAAAACAAAAAACGAATGACACGCAACACCGAGCACAACAGACAAATAAAATTCTAATCCAAATCCGTTACGCATTTGCAACAAAAACAAAACACACCAAACAAACCCTCGGTATGAGGCAACGAAGACTCTGCGAAAAAAAGCGAAAAAGAAATTTTGTTTGTGGCGAAGTGGAAAAACCTGTCGCACGATAAACAGGATTACGACGCAGAAGTTTGGGTCCAAAGAAAACACAATTTTCGGTAGAAAAATAAGAAAAGATTAAAAAAAAAAAATAAAAATAAAAAAAAAATTTGCCTCACAAAGCAGATATATTTCTGTTTGTATATACATATATACGTAGGTATGACAGTGAGGCAGCAAATTTAGCAGGCGTTGACGTGCCAACAAGTGTCGCACTAATTGATAGGCAATCTATGGTTGGTGACAGCTGCACGACCGACCTGCTAATGCATGCGGGAAGCGTTAATAGGCGTGAGTCAGAAGCCTACATATATTTGTATGTATGCAGCGTAGTGTAGCGTGCCAATAACCATGCCAGTCATGTATAATACATACATATGTAACTGCATAATTGGGAAACACCTGAGCCGTCAGAGTCTGATTCGTTTGTACTTACAAAGCCTCAGCAAACAAATGGCTTAGCTAATTGGTAGGCGTGGCAAGCGCTGAGCGACTTTACAGCGGTCTAACTGATGATCGAAAGACAATGCTGGCGGAAGTAATGAAATGACATTGTTAATCCTTGTAGGCGTCAATTGGAAGTCCCAAGTACAGCCAGTTCCGTCTTTAACTGGTTTTTTCTACAGTTTGCAGGTCTTTGTCTTCCTCTGCTACCGCCAGCGGGTAATGCATTGAATACTTTCATTAAGTACTCTGCTGGAGTAATCTGATCTTTCCGGAGCACACGGTTGTCTCCTGAAACACTGAACCATGTTAATGTGGCCGTATATCTCATACCGCTTATCTTTTCATCAACTCGTATCGTAGAGGACCATAAATCTTACGCAAAATCTTTCTATCTAAATCCTCTAACGTCTGCTCATCAGTTGTTGCCATCGTACATGCCTCCGCGCCCACCAAATTGCAGAACGAGAATGATAAGCGACTTGTAGAGTTTGGTATTCGTTCGTCGAGGGAGGACGTTATTTTTGGAATGCCCGCTCAGTCCAAAGTAGCAAGTATTGACAAGTGTTATTCTACGCTGCATGTCCAGGTGACGAGTATTGATGAACTTTCCTTATTCTTGTAAAGAGGCTGATCTCTCATTTCTCCAGGCTTAGTGAGCATCCTCTCCTCTCAGCCTAATCAGCTGCGATTTCAAGTAACGTCTCAGTGTTACCCTTGATAGTCGGTTGTGATGTTGGCTAGAAGAAAGTATTACAAGAACATCTGCATAATGCCCCACCATAAAGTTCTTTGCTGAGTGTAGCTTAGGGATTGAGGGCTCATGGCGTAAATGTTATTGGAAAATACACTTTTGTTTTTTATAGAGTTTTATAATTTTGGAGCCCTTTGCCTGTGCCTATCAACCATAAACGCGGTCTTCGAAGAGTCCTTCGATACAAAAATTTTTGAACCTCGCCGCACCACTGACACTATGTCAAACTGTTCGCAGAAGAGGCGCCACGAGTTGCGCTTTGCCTTCCTTATACTTACTGATATGTACACTATCGAAATGCGGTCTGGTATTGAAGCGTTTAGCTTTGTTGAAGGCTCTTCGACGTCTTTCGTATTATAATTTTTAAACTCTACCGTCATCAAAGGCTTGTCTTGCCGCTTTGTGCAGACTTCTTCAATATTTTTTATAATACTCTCAACTACTGCGTCGATTTCCGATATCTAACTGAACTCTTCGTGTACTGCGATTATATTTTTCTTTTCTTTAATATAATGTTAAAATATTTTATTTTTATTTTTAATTTTTTTTTTTAATATTTTCTTCTTCAATTAATATAATTTTTAAATTCTTTTTATCTATTCTCAACTTCCTCTGCCATTTCTTGAAAATTTCTACACATTTTCCCCGTACTTTCGAAAGAAAAAAACAACACAACAGCTGCACTGCCTACGCCGACGCCGGCAAACCGTTTCTCTTCATTGCTGTTGGTGTTTTTCTTACTATTCTTCTCCACCACCACCAACAACCTGTTCCGCTAACCAACAAACGTTGGCATTCAATTTTAATTTTCTTGTCCATTAATTTCACCAAACGCTAAATAATCAATTTGCGTTTCATTTTAAAGCCGAGCGAATGAAAGGGTTGGCCATCGGAAGGCCATAAATTAAATTGCCTTCAACGATATGATCAAAAGTTATCGATTACACAGCTGGCTGGGTGAACGGAACTCATGCGTTGACTGCACTGCGCTGCCGTTTGACAATAGAAGCAGAGCAGGTACGCACGGAAATTAAATGAGGTAATATTTAGATCATATATAGATTATCATACGATATTTATTGTTAGTGAAAAAAATTTAAATAAGAAAAAAAGAGAATATTTTCATTGTGAAAAAATTTGCATTTATTTCATTCAATAAAATTCCAGACAAGACCATAAAGGAACAACGACGAAGATAAAGACCGATGATGATGACATTAAAATAAATAATAAATTTAATAATAATAAATGGTGCGCCTTAAAGTTATTAATTTACTATATAAATTAGCTAATAATAAAAATAAATATTTATATAAATATAAATAATTGACTTAACGAACTAAAAGCGTAATAAGCGAACATTTTCCCCCCGTTTGTCAACAAATCAACAAAAATCAATTAATTATTCAAATATTATTTACTGTCGGTTAACTTAAGCGGTAATAAATTCGTACAACAACAACAGCAGCTACACCAACAATCCTCCCACAGCAAACATCAGACATAAACCGACGGCAACGCCAGCCCCACTTCGAAGAATTTACTGCCTTCCGCCTTGAAACGTTTCGCCGCACCCACTATTGGCGATGCCAAAGTTTTCCGCCGCTGCCGTTTCCTCTGCATGGGCGCACGCACCGGCGTCTCCAGCTGAAAGGTGTTATCCAAGCGCACTTTGCTGGAGGTTGAGCGCAGAAAGTGTTTAGAGTTACTGCCTGCCGAGATATTTGCAGGCGTTGGCATTTTTTGTAACATCTCCGCAGTGATAGGCGTACCGGGCAGCGGTGTGGCTGGTGCTGGCGTTGGCGGTGTTGTGTACTCCAGCGCCGGTTCCACCAGTAGAAAACTCAAATCACTCGCTGGATCATCGCCGGCGGCATAGGAGGGTGAGAGCACTAATTCGGGCACTTTCTCCGCTGTTTGGTGCTTGAGCAATGTACGGCGGCGCAGATTAAATGATTTGCGTGTACGCACTTTCTTCTTTTCATCTTTGCGCGCCGAGTCGAGTATGGCGTCAATGAGTTTGTCCAGTGTTTGATCGCTCATAGCGGCGGAGTGTGTGACATTGTTGTTGTGCTTGTTGGTATTGTGTCTCAATTGCTTTACACCCACACATTCACGCGCGATTTCAGCAAAATCTTGCTCCAACTTACGCGGCAAGGACTTGCGTGTGGCCTTCAGTTGTTCCTGCGCCTCCTGCTGTCGCCGTTTGACCAACTCCGGTGTATTGAAGTAACGCAAATTACTTACGAAGGGATCGGGCAGCAGACCGCGCAGCGCCACTTGTTGTCCCGTATGCAGCGCTGTGCTCGGTGAGTACTCCTCCTCGAAACATGGCAGTGTAGAGGCGTAAGTAGGCGCCGCCGCCGCCGCCTGCAGTGAGAATCCGACTGTCGAGTGCCGCCTAGTGGGTAGCGGTCGGTTTTCCACATATGTGCTGCCAACTTGCTGTAAAGTACGTTCTGGTGTACGCTGTGTTGATTTTGCAGTAGCGCTCAAAATATCCGTTAAGGGTGAAAGCCCTAGTGGACTGTTACGCCACTCACACGCCACCATCGGTGTAGAGGTAAATGGTATAAGGTTCTCCTTGTTGCTAATAGTTGCGCGTCGCCGTCGGCGCTTTACCTCGTTTGCGAGGGGATGCGGCGAGCGTATCGTTTTAATGCTCGGCGTGAGCTGATTCAGCTTCTGCGCTGACGCTGTCCACTTTAGCATTTTCACAAAATTGTCGTGAGCTCCGTCAATTTCACTTGGTATAGTGTACACGCTCACATTTGCTGACAAACTAACGGGTCTACACGCTCAGAGGCGCTTTTATACGCCAGGCGCTCGTAGAGGCCGCACCAACAACCCTCTTTTTTTGGAAGTGTAACAACCCTGCTGACGTAAACTAGAACAGCTCGCTCATTGCGTAATTTGGGCAGGCGCTCTTGCCGTAGCTAATTAAGAGACGTAACATGCTCTTGCAGTCATTTCAAACAGAGTAAAACTAGCATAGCAACGGAATTTTCGTCGGCTCTCAGTGAGCGCACAGGACATTGGCGCTATTCACCCTCATTGGCTCTTCTAGGGTTGCTTTTCTCTGTCTACGCGACTTTTCAATACTACTCGCACTCTTCCTGCTTGATGTGACGATAAAATCTTTTGATTGCGCCTTTAGTCGCTCTCACACATTCCAGCGGTAGCTGCGGCATATTCTCAAAGTCCTCGTGTTTGGGCAACGAGATCATATCGTATGTAGTAAATGTGAAAAAATTAGGATGGCAGAGGAAGTGGTTTTCCTTAATTTAGTTAGACTATAATTTACATTCTTACCTACATACGGAGGTGGGGTGTCAAGATTTCAAAGCCAACTGGAGCGCGGATAGGGGTAAGGGTAAATAGGACATGCAACAGTGTTTTCGCGTGTTGAAATGCTGTTAATATTTCAATCGCTTTCTCATGACATTTATCAAAGCTGACTATAATGACATTTACATCCTGCGTTGATTTTGATCAGCAGTGATGTCAAAGCGACAGGTTGTTAGGTTAGGTAGATGCAGGACGTCCGCAGGGAGGGTAAGGATAATGTTTTAAGACATCTTTTTAGTTAAAAAATTAGTTAAAAATGTCTGTTAAATTGAAAATATTATAAAAAGAGAAAGAAAAATTTCTTACTTTACAAAGTTCTCTGAAAGCTCCCAGAAGTTATCATAAATTTGAATGCTGAAAAGAGTTAAAATTCATTGAAGCCATTTCTGTAGCTAAGCAACCTTATGATTAAGCTTACTGTAGCTTTTCAATATAAAGCTGTATAAAAGCTCCTGGAAATTACTTAGATATTTAAAAACTCTCGTAAATCGTCTAAAAATATAAGAAAAAAAGTAAGCTCTACAAAGTTTATTAATATGAAGCTCCAAGAAAGCTGCATGGAAGCTTGTCAGAATTAATACATTTTTGAGTGCTGAAAAAATTGAAAAATTCCTTGCACGAGCTTCAGTTATTGCTATGTAACTTTAAAATTATGCTTCTTATTAATTATGCTTAAAAAAAAAGCTTATTTAAATATCATATGACATATGATATATATAAATACTTGGAAAAAAATCCTTTAAGTATGTGAAAAACAGCGATAATGATTACATTGAAAAACGTGTATGCATACGAAAATGTATTGGCTTTGTTTTTTTAATATAAAGCTCAGCAAAAGCTCCACAAAAGCTTGACAAAACCAATGCATTTTCGTATGCTAAAAAATGCATTGCATTTCCGTTGTTAAGCAGCTTAACTATTAAGCTTTATAAATTTTTTTCTAAAAAGCTTCATAAAAGCTCATGTGAATTATGATATAATATATTTAAATAATTTTAAAAGAGCATTGCATGCGATTCTACTGTCGTCAAGCGGCATCTTTTATGAGATAACCTAAAAAGCTTTAAACAGCTTTTTAATATAAAGCTCCATGAAAGCTCAGCGAAAAAATTGCTTTACATTAAAAAATAAAATAAAAACTTATTGCATGCGCTTCGACTGCTGCTATTTACGCTTACAGTGCAATAAAAAATTTGAAAAATATATACATATGTTACATACATATGCTACAGATATGTGTGTATATAAACTGTCATTGGTGTCTAAAAACAAAGCCAACCTTTTCCACTCCATTTAGCAGATAAGCTGTCCTTTTCCTTGCCACTGAAGTAACCTTTATAGCGTTTTTGTTTTTGTTCTTGTTTTTTTTCTATTTGCTTTAACTACAACAAGTCAAGTACCGTGAAAGATGTGCCATAATATACATACATACATATGTATGTATGTAGGTAGTTGTGAAAAAAATTTACATATTGATCCTTTGGAAGCATATTGCAGACATAATCGCTGCACCTTTGCACATTTGCACATCATTAGTAGCCATGCATACATATACACATACATACATACGTGCATACATAAATAAATGTACCGCAAGCGCCGCCATTGGTTATGGTTTGAATTTTTTAAGAGCAGAATTTTTTTTTCTCAAATTTCTTCTGAGATTTTTTTCCATTTAATGACCAACCCAACCGCAAAGACATCGAAGATGGGCAATTAGTATGGGTTTTTACTCGTTTAACGGCACTTCAATAAGCATTTCATGCGTTTCATTGGTTTTTCCAAAATATTTCTATGTAAAATATTTCGAAAATTTCTATTATCCAAGCAATCCAATTTTCTTAAGGATAATTAGTTGTGAATTTGAGGGATTAACGAGGCACAGAGCAAATCATTACTTCGAAGAAAGTGACAGCAAAGCACATTCGAGGGGGTGAGATACTGAGGCTTTTAAAAAAGAAATCGAAATTGCGAAATTGCTTAATAACAGACCTGGAAATTGTTAAACTTAGTTATTTGCATTTAATTTAATTTTATTTATATTTTATTTTTATTAATTTAAATTTTAATTTTTTTTTAATTTTATTTATTTTTTAATTATAATAGTTTTTTAATTATATTAATTTAATGTATTTTATATTCTATAATTTTTTTTCTTTATAATTTTAAATTGATTTTATTTTATTTTATTTTATTTTAATTTTTTTATTTTTTTTTAATATTTTTTTTTTATTTTTTTTCTAAATATATGTGGCAGCATCGCCAATTTAAACACTCTGGTTACACAAAAAAATTATATATCGTATACGTACATATAAATATATTATAACGTGATTTCCTTCAGTTTTAGCATTAATTTAAAGTAGGTATCGCAATTCACACACTTTTCCTTAAAAAAAAACGCTACCTTTCTTCCAAAAAAAAAACTGTTGAAAAGTGTTGCAAATTGTGGTGAAAGTCCTGAAAATACACACACACGAAATACCCTTCACTTTCACCCTTTCCCCCATCAACACACCACTAACCAACCGCAGCGGCAGATTATTCCAGCGCAAAATGAAAAAACGGATTTACTTTTGCCAAAAGTAGTGCAGAAAAAATTGCAAAAAAAAACAGCTGTCAAACAATGAATTATGCGCTTTTGATTAGTTATCCTTGCGACTTTTCGCAATATCCATGCAATACAACGCTGAACGCTTTTCTCGATTTTCTTTTTTTTTCCTTTTCGCCAACAATGCACAAACCGCTTACAAATGTAAAACTAACACTAAGCATGTGTGTTTTTCATGTATTTTTGTGTGTTTTAACCATTGTGTTTGAATATCCTTTGAGTGTGCGCCGCAATCCTTTCGCACGCAATGCGATTTGAATTCGCCATTTGAGTATGTGTGAGTGCGGAAATGATTAATTGGCGCGGCGAGGGGAAATGTAGGGTGGCATAATTTGTGTATTTAGGCTTTTGTTGTTGTATTTAGTTATTGTTTCGTTGGTTTTGTGATTTTAATATTGACTTTCTTTCTTTATTTTGTGTGCGTGTGTGTGTGTGTTTATTAAATGCATGATTTATGTATGTACAGTGCATGTGGGAAATGCGAACTACTGATAGATAGCATAAATATAGCATAAATATACATACATATAGATATACAATATGTACATATGTATGTAAGTATTTTTCTGTTATCGATGTTTTTAGTTTTTCATTAAACGAGCAAGAACCATGTAGGCCAATTGGAAACTCATATAAGATGACTATACTATTGTACATGTATATAAATATGTATGTATGTATATACATAAGTACTCTTGTATGCATGTACATATATTTAATTACATTAATTTTCAATCTCACAAATTTCCCTTTAGTTTGTAAAAAAAAACATTCAAGGGCAAATTGCGCCATTGTGACTTTCGCTCGTTTCAGTAGTTCACAATGGTCTCTCGCTGACAGCTGATATGCTTCGTTTACAAATTATATAAATTAAAATAAATGAAAAAGATTTGTGTCGGTTAAAAAGTGAAAGTTTGTAGAGTTTAATACAAATTTATGCAAATAAAATAAAATTTAAACAGAAGAAAAGTTAAAAATCTACTTATGGAAGTTGAATGTGTGCAGTTGCTGCGCGACAATTCATCAGCAGAAGAAGTATTGGTGGTGCTGGCCGGAAGTAGGGAAATGTCGTTGTGTGCTTCCATCTGATTTCTTTCAATATACTAACTTCTGCTCGCTTTTGAATTTATGTAAACTAAAAATATTTTGCCGTCAGTTAAGCGCAGAGCACACCGCGACAAGCAGAAAATTAATTAAATTTAAATTTGGCGAACCAAAAAAACTATGGAAAATAAATATGTACATAAGTATGTATGTACATTTTCAGTCCAGCCTCTATTACTCACTCGCGCACTAATGATGTAGGATTCTGTCAAGTTTTTCGTGCAAAGAGGTGAACAAATCTACCAAAACAAGCGCAGCGTTTCTATTGAGCATATGAAGGTTCTATACTAGAACTAGTATAAGTATACCTTACGGACAGATTATAGCTAGTTAAGCGAGTCAGTGCAAGAGTCTACTCTTGGCAAATCCTTTCGCATAGGTGAAACGAAGCTGAGACCTCAATGATGCTCTAAGGAAATTGTATCCACAACTTTTCGCGTAACTAGCCCGTATTATAAGCTATGGAATCTGCAACAATAAAATCGAAAACAGTAGATAATTGCAGCAGATCACTTAAAGTGTTGGCTAAACATTTCGCTCGCAACCAAAAAAGGTGCATGGACGCCGAGCAATGAGTCTTCGGATGTGCTTGCAAGGACCCTTCCCTTTCATTTTCGTCATAATGAAAGCGTCTTGGCATGCCGCTCTT